GACCCAATCAATTCAGGGAAATTTTAAATTAGGGTTCTTAAATCCCCAGGATTGTCACCAAAAAATTACTTAAGAACACTATTGCCTCAGTTAAATGTGTTTGCATTTTAGTTTCATTGCTTGTGCAATGCTGCATCTGTTGCCTTTTCCTGTGACCATGTTTCTTCCTTATGGGTTCTTACGGTTCTTGGATTTATTTGACAATTTGTTATAGATGCTGATGTGAGGCTTGCTCGTAGAATTAGAGAGATACAGTTGAGAGGGGTAGGGATGTAAACTCTGTTCTTGAACAAGTAAGCCTATGTCTACCATAGTTTTATTTTATTTTTTGTAATTTAATACTTGATATTATTCCTGTACAAGGTTTAAGTTATTTTTACATGATATGCAGCTTGTTTAAGTTTACTTGCCTGGTTGTTGATGTCGTGGTGTACGTCTGTGTATTGGTTGTATTCAAACTTTGAAATGAATATCTGGAAGAATAACAGGGCTCAGATTTGAAACAGAATATGTTCTCGTTCTCATTCGCCCATTAAAATGCTAATGGAGAGCATTTTGATTAATGTACCTCATATTCAAGTATTTCAACATTTTGCTAATAGCATTGCAATATTCTGTTATTTATGCAGTATGCGAAGTTTGTCAAGCCTGCATTCGATGATTTTGTTCTCCCATCAAAGAAGTATGCTGATGTCATCATCCCTCGAGGAGGTGATAATCATGTTGCAATTGATTTGATTGTGCAACATATCCGCACTAAGCTTGGTGAGCATGATCTCTGCAAAATTTATCCCAATATGTTTGTAATTCAGTCAACATTTCAGGTATATCTCATTCTTTATCTCTGTCCCATTTCTTTTACAAATTGTTTGATCATGCTGAGTAGCACATAAATTTACCAGCATAGCTTGTTACTAGAAAGCATATGACCCTTTGTCTATATTCATGTGTAGCTCTTTCATATATCATGTACCCTAAAATGTTGAGAGAAAGCTATCACGCTTATTTAGTTAGAACGTCGTGATTGGGAAAATGACGCCACTACTTTGAAGTTATTCCCAACAATTTTCAATCTGTGGTGCAGATTAGAGGAATGCATACTCTGATTAGAGACCGGGATATTTCTAAGCATGATTTTGTCTTCTATTCAGACCGGCTTATTCGTCTGGTACCTTCAGATACATCTTGTCAATGAACTGTGTGGTATTTTTCCATAACTGTTCTCCAAATGCAAATATTACTGATTTTGTTGCATTTTATTTAGGTGGCGGAACACGGTCTTGGACATTTGCCTTTCACTGAAAAGCAAGTGATAACACCTACAGGTGTGAAAACTTCCAGTTCTCCTTTCTGAGTATCTGCAATTGGACATGCCCAAAAAGAAAATGATGAATTCTTCTTCAGCTTAAGATGTTTTATCATTGAAACAGTTAATATTCTGCTTACGTTTGAAACTTGCTGCTATTTGTTTTCAGCATCAGTATATACTGGAGTTGATTTTTGCAAAAAATTGTGCGGTGTTTCCATTATTAGAAGGTGAGTTATCAATCAGGTATCAAATTGGTCAGCGGACTTTGCTTAGTCAGTATCTGTGGTATTGGGTGATGTACAGTTGCATCTGGTAAATTGTGATGAATATTTGGCTCAGTTGCTTTCTATTTCTTTTATTATTACAGTGGTGAAAGCATGGAAAACGCATTACGCGCTTGTTGCAAAGGAATAAAAATTGGAAAAATTCTGATTCACCGTGATGGAGATGATGGAAAACAGGTTAGAAGTGTTATTTGGATCTTTATGCTCTTAGGTACTTCATATAAAATCAATATAAGCACTAATATGCTTTCTTGAAAACTTTTAGCTTATATACGAGAAGCTTCCCAAGGACATTTCTGAACGACATGTCCTCCTTCTGGATCCAGTGCTCGGTACGGGTAAGTTTGTTCCTCTTCTTGCAGCTATGTTCTTTACCATTTTTCATGCCTTGTGTCTTTATACTATACGCAGGGAATTCTGCGAGCCATGCCATTGAACTGCTGCTACGGAAAGGAGTTCCGGAATCTCACATCATATTCCTGAATCTCATCTCTGTAAGTTTTAAGCGATGTTGGCTGCGGAATTTGGATGCACCTACTGCTTTGCTACTCTTTATACGTATTGATCCTGGTCCTCCATTTTCTTTCTGTTAGGCGCCTGAAGGAATCCATTGTGTTTGCAAACGCTTCCCATCCTTGAAAATCGTCACTTCAGAGATCGACGTTGCACTAAATGAGGAGTTCCGTGTTATACCGGGGATGGGTGAGTTCGGTGACCGTTACTTTGGAACTGATGACTGATCCACCATTGTAGGCAAGTTCCAATTAACCAGGTACATATGGACCGGTTGCTTGAATGTGTAATATTCCGAAACACATAGAAGCTACAGAGTAGGACCATCCGGACAAAAGTCCGGAGATGAGTCCTATATCCTTTATTTTGTTATCTTGTTGCCTTAAATGCTCGATTCGTGAACTTTGCGGATCGAAGAATTATCGAACAAAGCCATAGTTAATGGCTTAAACGATTATGAATACCAAATTCGCGTGGTTGATTTTAGACAATTTTAGAAACCATAGATCAAATGTGAAATAATTTGTCAATGCTGATAAAACATGTATTGAATGATAACAACTACGTAATTGACATAAAAGAGTGAAACCCTATAGTCACGGCATTCAATAATTATATATTTTGAAATGTCATATTAACCTTTTTCCGTATTGAAATATTAATATTAATTACTTATTTTTTTTCGTATCATTAAAAAGTCTATAAATTATTAAAATATAATAATATATCAATTATTAGTTGATCTAATAGGATGAAGTTTTAGGTTTTTTTTAATAAAATCATAGATTTGATTTTTAATATTGTGAATTGAATAAATCATGTTAGTTATTATCCTTATAATAAATCTATGTTAATACTTAATTTAGATTTTTTTTTAATAAGGACAAGTTTGTTTTGTCGGTCGTTGACGGTTTACCCTTTCTAATTTGGGTGTAGAGTCGTAGCCAATAAGGTAACAACCGTTGGTCAGTGTTTCTTTATGAAAGAGGTGAAGACAAAAGGAGAATATGAGAGTGAAGAAGAAGGAAATAGAGACTTCCCTCTAAATCGTAGTTGAGAAGTATTTATGGTGGCTTTGACTAATGGATTTAGAAATAGAATTATTATGACTACTCGTAGGTTAGTAGGTTAAATAAATATGGTTATCAAATTTTTGGATTTCGTTTTTTGGTAAATCACATGAGCATTTTAGAGGTATTGTTTATGCAATATAGATGATTCAGAGGCTATGACACTCTTATGCCCATATGATATGAGTTCTTTGGAAACTCCAAGCGAGAGGAGTCCATGCAGAGTTCTCGACTGACAAAGAGCTGGCAGTTTTCGTAGGTGATTTATGGAGGTATAATAAGTTATCCCCTTAATCGAGGGAATACCATAAAGTGACTTGAACTGAGATTTATGTCCGAAGATATTCATGTATTTATGGGGTTGTTTTTGGAAACTTCTATAATGATTATTTTTTTAAACGACAGAAAAGATACATGCATGTCACATTATAAATGGTGCATATTTTCTAGCCCTCATTGTCTTACTTTGGGGCCAAACACTCTCATAGATGAAAACTATTACTTAACACACGTTAACGTTATAAAATAGGACATTTTTTTACTTAAAATTAAACGTTGAGGTTTAAAATGCCAAAAAAAAAAGAAAAAAAAGAATAAGAGACAAAATCATTATTTCATCGGTTATTGAAAATTAAAATAATTTTAATTGTTGAATTTTGGTGAATTTTAGTTATTTATAATATCTAATAATTGAAGGAGTATAATATACAATTTTAATTGCATAAATATATAAAATTTAGATTTATTAATTAAATCAATTTTTATTGTTTAATAGTATGAGATGATTACAAAATAGCATGATCAAGTCAAAATGTTTTTAAGTTATTGATAACACAGTGCATTTTCAGATATCCTAAATTTCGAATTACTAAAATTGTGACTTGTATCTTATTAAAAAAAATCAGATATCATATTTTTTGAATATCCGAATTTTTAGATCGGATATATGTATATACAGATCCACATATAAAATATAATTTGACAAAAAATATATTTAGATTTTATATTTTGTGATTTTCTGTAACATTTTCTATACCTCTACTATATTTTATAAATATATTTAATAATTCAAATATAATAAATAATTAAATATCTTAATTTTTATTATGTTACAATCTTAATGGATTAGTGGGATACTAATTTATTGTGCTAAATGATATCTAAATTGTAAAGTCCTATTTTTTATTGGATAATCTAAAATTGGAATTTACCCAATCAGTATCCAACTTGATTATCTGATTTTTTTATATATATTCGGTCTAAATTATCCTAGAATAAAAAAACGCATCGAATATCTAAATTTTCGAATTGTATTATCATATTAGGTTATTTTTTTTGCACACTCCTACTACAAACACAACTATTCGAATATAAAAACTTTAAAGATAATAACACTTTTTTACTATCAAAATAACTTGACGAGTTTATTAATTTAACCAGTAGAATCAAATTAATATTACGTTAATTTGATTAAATTAATTTAAACTAGGAAATCAACCAAACTCAATTATTGTTAGATTTAATTAGTTAAATCAATAGGACCGAGTCTCACGGTAGACAATTCATAATTGATAGAAGTCTTACACGAAAGTTGCTCTCAACCTAACGTTAAAGACATTCTACTACTCCACATTCTCTTACCCCATTACGGGAAAAAAGGTCAACTAATTTTAATTAATAAATAAAAAAAATCGACTTAGCCGACTGATTCGACCGGTTTACTCGTACTAATAACTAATGCCCAAAAGCCATCGGTTCTTATCTTTCTCGCAATTAAAAGCTAGGTAGAAACTAGCGGGAAAAATTATAAAATCAAAACCCAAATTAATTCCATTCTCCGTCTTCTTCGTCATTGCTACCAAAAAGCGGAAAATAAGGGTGAAAAAGCGATGGAAGAATCGAAATCCAAAGAGAAAATTTGCTGGAGAAAAGAAGTGGATCAGAACTTAAAGCGGCTTCAATCGCTCCTCTTCGGCGCCGAGCTCTGTCTCAAGAAGCGGGAATTCGCGCCGGCTCAGCTCCTCTCGCTTCGTCTTCTCGGCTTTCTTGATTCTCACTCTCACTCTGAACTTGATGAGGCCTTCATTCATCCTATTCGCAGTGATGCTGATTCCAAGCTCGTCACCGCTCGCCGTGCCCTCGTTCAAGAATCTGATCGGTATATATCTATATCATGAATTAAATTTTAGGTTGCTAAACCTGTTTTTTATTCAATTCTGTAAGCTGGATTCTACTTTTCTTTTTTCTTGGATAATGTTTGCTATTAGATGTGCTATTTTAGTTCCAATGAGACTTGTAGTTATAGATATAAAGCTTCACTTTGTTTATTATAGCACTTTTTTTGTGTTTAATGTTGCTGTCAAACATTTAGATCTCGATCTTTGTTGTTGATTAAGTGTATTAAGAATTGCATGCTTTCAGCCGAGCATTTGCACAAGCAGGAATAGCTCCTGGTTGTGCTTTTGGCAAGAAAAGAGGTATTGACGTTGATAAAATCAAGCAATCAAAGTACTTCTGTTCGCAGCTTCAGCAGTCAAAGGGAAAAGCTATAACTGAATTGGTATGAAAATGGATTAGTATATCATTTACTTGCAATTCTTATTCTAGATGGAAATTCATGATGTCCTATTCATATGCATTAGGAGTTCCCTTCTGAAACAAATACTATAAATTACATTTTTTAATAACCCGAGCTCTGACTCTCTCAGGGAGGACAAGATAAGTTCATTAGCAAGCCGTCTAAAGCTATGACACAGGCGAAATTGACATCTTTGTATGGAAACAAAATTACAGGAGCAAATAATTGCTCATATAGAAGTTCTTTGGACTCCAAAAACAATAGTTACAAAGATTGTTTTATAGTGGAAAAGGGACACTCTTATCAGAATTTCGCTAGGGGACATAGTGTTTCAAACTTTTCCAAAGTTGAAGAGGAAGAAAGAGGAAATGGAAAAGGCTTTGGGACAAAGCGTGCATACAGAGAAATTGGTAGCCCTGGAAACAACAGTGCAAGGTCACCATCAAGCAATGGAGAAGCTAAAGCTGATGTTTTGGGGAATGCATTTGTAACAGCCCGAGCAAAACTGGTATAATACGAAACATTGGAGCTTTGGCACGTAAACTGTCATTTGTTCCAATACTTTCTCTGAAGCATTCAGAAGTCAAATCCGTTTTACATGTTCTTATATTATTTTCATTCATACCATTATTAATCCATTCATTATAGGAAATGGATGTGAGACAAAAACGAGGGCTGGCTGCTTCTCCAAGTGCTGCTTCTGTTTCCCCTCAGAACGATACCAATTTCAGTTCTCGAGGTTATGGTACAAAATCTTATGGTGTTTCACGACGTGGAGTTCGTGGTAATTTTGTTCCCCCTATAAAATCTAATGGTGTCAGTGTTGGAAATGTGACATCACGAATTGGTGGAAGGAGTGATGATGCATTAGATGACTCAACAAGGACATGGTGAGAGATGTAAATTTTTAAAGGAAAAATCAATTTAAATTATATCCTTGTACATTGTCAATGCACCTATGATCATGGATTAAATATTAAAATTTCAATATCTGGTCTGGAAGGAGATTCAACCATTTAATGCGTTCTTAAACATATTTTAAACTGATCAATTACTTTTTTTCTCATATAACAAAGATCTGTTTTCAAGTGTTATATTGAATAGAATAATTGGGATGTCTTATGTCTGCTTTTGTGTCTTCACTTGTTTTTAATGGTTTTGCATCCAGTTTGGAACTTCTTTGTGGTTCTGATGGTGAACTTCCGGAAAAATTAAGGAATTTGGAACCTCGCCTTATTGAGCATGTCAGCAACGAAATCATGGATCGAGATCCAAATGTTCGATGGGAAGATATCGGTATTATACGATACATAAAACTTACTTCTAGGTTTCATCTATATGCTTATCTAAAAACTATTTTTTCTTCCAAAAAATGTTGCAGCTGGCTTGGAGCATGCTAAAAAATGTGTGACAGAGATGGTCATATGGCCATTATTACGTCCCGACATATTTAAAGGCTGTCGCTCTCCTGGAAGAGGTCTTCTTCTCTTTGGTCCCCCAGTACGTATCTTTTAATTCTCTATGAAGTAAATGTTAATATCATGGGTTTATGACTTCTCTGTCGGCACCTATTATACTACAGGGTACAGGCAAAACAATGATTGGAAAAGCTATAGCTGGTGAAGCAAAAGCCACCTTTTTCTACATATCTGCTAGTTCATTGACAAGCAAATGGGTATGTTTGTGATTTCTGTTTGTCTTTAATGATATTATCCATGTGTTTTTGAAATGCTTGTCAAACTTGTTTAGGTACCTTAAATTGAAATTTCTTAAGTTTCTCCTAACATTGTTCCAGAGGTTATTCTTTACTTTTATTCTCTTCCGGAGATTATATGAATAAACTTTAATGGGTAAAATGGCAATCGGTGAATGTAGATTGGAGAGGGTGAAAAGCTAGTGAGAGCGCTTTTTGGAGTGGCCAGTTGTCGTCAGCCGGCTGTTATTTTTGTTGATGAAATAGATTCCCTTCTGTCACAGGTAAGGCATAGCTTATGGCTCTTGAAGACAAACTTGAATTGGTGTCAGGTTACCTTTGACTACTATACTGTAATGCTGAGATAATTGGAGATTTGGCCAAACTGGATTATGAATTTATTTATTTGTTTGCTTTTGCCAGATTTTCACATGTAAACTATATTAATAAAGGACCCTTTTTCTTTAGATCATTTATTAGGTTTTATTTTATCTTGAATTCTGTTTGAACTAGGGAATATGCTTTGCATCCATGTTATTATAGATGTACCAATCATGATAAGACAGGCAATATGCAGTCTACTAGGCTTTACATCACAATAATCTTTATAACCAGTCAGTAAAGTGTCCTTAAAGGTTCTCTTTTCATGGTGACAGCGCAAGTCAGAAGGTGAGCATGAATCAAGTAGAAGACTCAAGACACAATTTCTTATTGAAATGGAAGGCTTTGATAGTGGCAGTGAGCAGATTCTTCTTATAGGTATTGTTGTTGCTAACGAATTCATATACATTTTGTTGCCAACCAGAGATGGTTTTATTAAATGGACAAGCAAGTAAAACATTAGAAAGATAAAAAATGAAAGGAAAAAGAATAAGTGTACGATAATTATGACTGCATCTCATAAGAATGAAGTGAAATTCAAAGATTCACTCTACATTTCAATTTTTGGATCGTACTGGTGAGTCGTGTTGGGCAATTGCATTACATATATGTATAATTCAGGGGCAACAAATAGACCTCAAGAACTAGATGAAGCAGCAAGGAGAAGACTTACCAAGAGACTCTACATTCCCCTTCCGTCATCAGGTGCAACTTACGGTTCTTTTCTAATCTTAATTCTACCCATTTATGTCAAAGAATTTGATTCTGACTCACTTTAACGGGTAACAAAGAAGCAAGAGCCTGGATTGTACGTAACCTCTTGGAGAAGGATGGACTATTCAAACTTTCAGAAGAGGATATTGATGCCATATGCAGGTTAACTGAAGGTTAGCTTATGTCTTCTCTTGGCTGTTAAGATGCTTCGTTTTTATCTTAGATATCCTTCGAGATTGTGTTGTTTGGTTTCTTTTCTTCACAGGCTACTCAGGATCGGATATGAAAAACTTAGTGAAAGATGCATCAATGGGACCTCTTAGAGAGGCTCTAAGACGAGGCATAGAAATTACAAAGCTTAAGAAAGAGGATATGCGATCGGTAACACTTCAGGTAATGGCTCTAGAAAGCACATATCTGCAAGGTAAAACTTTTCATCAGAGCTGACCCATTCGAAATCATATTTTTACGTAGGATTTCGAGAATGCATTACAAGAGGTAAGGCCATCGGTTTCTCTGAACGAATTGGGTACGTATGACGAATGGAACAATCAATTTGGAAGCTTATCACTCTAAAACTTCAACAAAGAAACGAAAGAAGCATCTCAGCTTTCTTTAACCTCTATGGATGAGGGGCTTACTTTCTTTTTCAAGTACAATTAAACAATATAATCCGAATAACTACCGTTGATATTAAGTCAAGGCCTTGGCGAGGGCTCGCTTAAAATCCAAATCACTTGGAAAACGACCTACATTTGTCAGCAAGGTTTGTTTCGTTGGTTTACATTCTTTCTTTAACAGATTTATTGGCATGGTTTGTATTCTTGGTTATATTATTTCTTTAGCTTTCTTTGTGCCAAAGTAAGAAGAGTAGCAAAAGTCAAGTATTGGATTGAGGATTTAGGGTAAGTCGTAAGCTCTACTTGCTTATTCATTGGAATCTTCTGGCTTTTAAAAAAATGTTGGTAACATTACATGACCATGCCAGTGGATCTCTCGAACCATCAAAGGTCAAAAAAATCTAGTTTGGTGTATTTTTGGTATTATAATCAAACCCCTAAAGCACATAATAGATATGATCAAAACATCTGAATTCGATGAATTCTAACTTTAATTTATAAAAATAAAATTTCTAAATTTTAGGTATGAATCAGGTCAAATTTTGTGCATGAAGGAATTAAAATAGGATTTATGGTCAAAATACTTAAACCAAGGGAGTCCCGGGACTTAATGAAGAGGGAAAGCAAACCTATGTTTACTTCCTATCAGTTGCACGGACTCATAAAGAAATGTATGAAGAGAATGAGCTTATTGATATTCCACTAGGGATGGCAATGGGTTGGGTTGGGTTGTATTTTTAGTCAATTTGATCCGACTTGAAATATATATACCACTAAATGAACTCGACCTGACTTGAAATATATATATCTTCCACCCGATCTGATCCGACCATAAGAGAATATTTTCTCCACTCGAACCCGACTTAACACGATGTAAAATAAGGACCAAGTTAAAAAAAACTATAGAGAGGATTATTATAGCAATTATTCATAAATTTATATGAAAAAATTATACCATTATCGCTGGGTTGGGTTGAGTCAATTTTTTACCCTCCACCTGAAACCGACTCGACCTTACTGCCATATACAATTCAGCCCGACCCGACCTGAACTCAATTTTTTTTAATAAAAAAATCAGACCCCTATCAAATTTAATCGGGTCGGAATCTGTATGATTAAGCTGCCGTCCCTATTTTCCACTCCTTTTCTTCTGCTAGCATTCCGACTAGATATTGACGTTAATTACCTATGCTCATGCTTTTAGAACCAATGGTCTTGATATACACAAATGGTTGTGATTAATATTTGATGAAGATTTGTATTTTGTGATCGTTTTAGCTAACCGCTTCCTCCTATGATACAGATGAGACATAAGGGCAAATTAGCATCTTTACTTACATTGCCCTTCAAGTTTTTACCGACTCTCACTAAATTTTGATATTATCTTGAATCATCTCTTTTCTGTATCACGACCTTCAGTCCACCGGCCATGTGAGCCGTCAAGAGGGGCACAAAGACCGGTTTTTCAGAAACAAACGGTTTGATTTCGAACTGCCTTAGTATGGAAGCCACCACGTAGTTCATCTGAATGAATGCCATCTCTTTCCCAAGACGAACTCTTGGATCTGCCTGGAAGACCGGATACTTGTATGGACAAACCTTCTTTAGTGATCTTCCATGGTAGCTTGCCGGTTCGATAAACCATCGGCTCGGTCTGAACTCATACCAGTTACAATGCTTAGGTTACCCTGTCTCCGGCACTGACTGGAGTGCCATCGGGCAATAAGTCGTCGACCATGGCATGCTTTGAGTCCCAGGCTACTGGTGGATAAAAGCCTCATTGATTCACAAAGACATGCTTTCAGCAATTTAAGTGCCTTCAATGATTCATAATTTAACAAGCTTTTCTCCATGGTGTTTATCTCTTTCACGAGTTCTTGCTCTATAACTGAATCGCAGGAAAGCAACCAGAAGAACCATGTCATTGCAGCTGAAGTTGTATCCCTATCTGCCATGATGAAGCTTATGGCCATATCTCTTATAGCTTCCTCGTCGTTTCCGGCGATTAGCAGCCTCGATAAGAGATTTTCTTCACCATGATTCTCTCTGTCTTCATCGATCTTTCTCTTCTTGTCACGAATGATTCCCTCAACGTATGCACGAACTTCCTCCTCTGCATCCTTGAGCCGTTTCTCCGATCCAGCACCCACCCATTTCTTAACCTTCCAGACCAATAACAAAGGAGCAGCGCTACGCTAGGCGGATATCTCCGACGCCGTGTCGAAAGCTTTGTGGAGAGGTGAATCTGGCTGAGAAGGATCCAAACAACATCGATCCACCCCTAATGAGACCTTGCAGAGCATATTGAACGCAAGTCTTTTTAGCAACTCTTGCAGGTCTACCACTTTTGATGTATCAGCCAATGACTCTAACAACGGTAACAACTGATTTTCACCTCCTCCTTCAACATCCTAACCATAAATTCTCTCGAACAACCGGAGCCGAAAACATGGCTGACTAACTTCCTTTGCATCGCCAAAGCTCACAATCCACATTGAATATCCCGTAGCCAAGAAAATCACCTATGATTTCAGTGAAAGGTTTGCCTTTAGGGAAGTTTTTGAAGTTGGTTTTGAGCACGTATTCGACGTTCTTCGAGTTCACAGTTACGATGGGTCTTCGAGCACCAAGCCGGTTCACCACGATCGTGTTGGTGGCTTAATCTGCGAGGAGCTCCGTGTACCAATCTAACAAACGATGGCGGTTTTTATGGAAGGAAATCAAGCAGCCGATAATGGGATAAGTTGGAGGGCCATGTGGTGACAGTTTTGGTGCTTTGCAGACTTTACGTAATATTGGATGACACAAAGAGAAAAAAGATTGATATGAACACAAATTTCAAGGTAAGAAGAGGAAGGAAAGACATCAATATTTCCATATATGGTAGCATAAAGCTCAAGTGATTGTTCTGCAGCATTAATGGGGGAGTTTCAAGAGGTTTATGAGCTATTTAGGTATTGTTGTATATATATATATATTAGATCTAAGATAATGATTATGTATTAAACAAACGACTAGATTGAGAAAAGAATCCAATTGACAAACAGTAATTTTTATTTTAAAGTGATTTTCTTTCTACACAGACGCATGCTCTCATCCACACATCGTGAATCCTTTCTTTTCTTGTATTGTTTTCTAGTGAGTAGTTTAATCTCGGAGCTGCCAACCATGACTCGACACCTCCCGCAAGAAAAGGTGACTGAATTTTGCAGAATAATTCTGATCAGAATATGAACTGAAACCTGATGAATGAGACAAAGAAGGTGTCAATATTGAACACAATCAACTAAGCTTTGTTCCCATTTCTTTAAGGGTGCCTACTAATTACAGAACAAAAACCTTTTCAATTGAATGACGGGTTGAATAGAGAATCATATTTGTTAATTAGCATTATTAATATTTCATTGGGTGGTTTCTATTAATCTAATGATCCATTGGGAAAAGTTGCACGCCAATACTATCAATCAAAGATTAAGAAATATTGATTAGCTAATCAAAACAAGTTACAATGGAAGTTATGTGATCATCTTTTTGTCAAATAAGGCCTAACTTCCACATGTTCACACTTCACTTAAAAATGACTTTTTTTTTTTAATTTATGAATTTTCCGTTTTTTTAAAAAAAATAAAGGAAATAAAAAAACCAGGCCACGTGTCAAATATTGATTGGTTGAATGATTTGCCTGAAATTTCAAATAGCTAATTCTCCCCCACTTAATAATCATTTAAAACTTACCCAACCACCTATGCACTCTCTTTTCCTCAACTCCTCTATCACTGCTACTTCTCTTGTTAAGAATTTGTATGGAAAACATATTTGATGTGAGATTAACACAAAAAAAAAAAACATATATAAAAGATAATATTTAATACTATTTGACTTCAATTGTTTATCTCCACAAATGAGAGAAAAATTCATTGTATAAACGTAGAGATTATAAAAGGGTTAAAGCATATGATAAAATCAAACACTAAATCCTAAGCTCTAAAACAAATCTTATTTCTATGACACATGCTGTTCAAATACATAAAATACCTTTTTATCTACAAACATGATATTTTACCAAATTCTTCGTGGCATCCTTTCAAAACTTGTATCTCAAACATATATCTCATAATGATTATGTCTGTCTCTTATAATTCTAAAGGTTGAGACATACCATATATTTATAGAGTCAAATACTTGATCGCCAAGAAATATTATTCCGTGAAACTTTTTATCTAATATAAATATTTATTTATTAAACAAACTTAATAACCAAGAAAATTTCAACCACTAGAGTTACATCAAAAACTGATTTACTTACTAGTCAGAATTTGGGTTAATACATAACAATCTCCCTCTTGACCCAAATTTCATTAAAACATAAGCCTTCAAGTCTTCAGTAACTTTATTTCTTACGTAAACTAAAAATATCATGTTTACTATCTATTTAATAATAAAGGGACCTGGTTTCCAAAATCAAAGACTAACTTGACTAATTTAATATTCAATTGTTAAATTTAGGGACTAAATTAAACTAATTGAGACTTTTAGGCCATGAATAAAATCTCAATTACACAATCAAGGACCAAATTGAATTGAGAAATAAAAATAAAAGGACCAGAAGTATAATTACCCTAAAATAAGCAAAAAGATGTGGATCCTCTAGCAGGTCGAGTCGATTTGCGAGTCGTCTCCCAAAACACAATCGTTTTGGCCCTAATTGCCCCTCCCGAAACATCATCGTTTGGAGGGGGTATAATAATAAATGAACATACATCGATAAATCAACTTTAATAATAAAGTGAGCACATGTATTTATAAAAATAAACTGCTTTAAAATTTGATTTGATATTTAAAATTATTTCTGAGATAATTACTCGATGTTAGAAACCATCACAGCATTTTTAATGTAAAATAATTTATAATAATATTTAATAACATGTTTTAAAAATCAGATTTCAAAAAAAAAAAAATCAATCAAGTATCCTTAAATTTAAAAAATCATCGATATCGACTAAAATAATACATATTAAAAAAATCACATTTAATTTGTTGGATTCAAATTTTAAAATTAATGGTGTAATACTATTTCTTCTCTTTATTTACCAAGTGGTCTCACCTCATGTTCAAAGCATTATGATCATTATCATTAACATATCATTCAGCGCTGCAAGCACAAGCATACATCAGTATAGGTACGTTGGCAGTGAATTAATTTTTTTTTCCTGATTAATTTAAGATAACTATAAAATAATATCTATTTAAAAATAAATTTTAAGTATTTGACTTTAAACACTTATACTACTAATATTTATGATGGTCAAATTTAAAATATAAAAAAATAATAACTATTGTTTTATTAATAATATCGTTTGGACTTAATTAAATTTCTATAATGATGAAAGTGGTGAATAACAATATAGTCGATAAGACATTTCAATCAAATCCGTATGACTACAAATGACATTGTAACACGTCTAGATAGCCAATACGACAATCATATCATATCAATGAACCAATAAGAAAATTGGTAAATTACACGTATAATACCTAAATTATTACTATTGTTATATTTTAATAACCAAATTTTACACTTTTTCAAAATCATATTTAATATTTAGTTTAGATCCATTAAAAAATTAATAAAACTGCTGACATTGCATATATATATTTTTAATGATGACGTGACATTACCTAATGGTGACACGTCAACATCACTAGTAGGACACCAAAATAAAACATAAACTAAACATTAAGTATGATTTTGAAAAAAAAATAAAGTTTGGATACCAAAACGAAATGAAAATAAAAGTTTAGGTACTAAACTTGTAGTTTACCCTAAGGAAATATATGCATAATGGGTAATAGCTCTTTCATACATAACTTCAACTTCCCATAAACATGAAAACATATGAGATTCAATACATAGATCATATTAGAACATACCTCAAGGGCATCATGAACCGTCCAGAGCATAATTTCATCATTTTAAGCAAATAATACGTGGGAAAACAATAAGGATAAAATGACGTCAAGTGATTGCCATAATGTCATATATTAACCCACAATGTGAAATCATGTAAGATTAAACATTCCAAGATCACATAACAATCTGCTGAAACAGCATTATTAAAGCAGGTGTCAGTTATTTACCTATTCGTTCGTCTGAGTTACATATTCGAGTGGCCCATGCGAACTTGAACTCGGTGCCATGAAGTGTTCAGAATACCTCTTAGGTTCCAAATATCTCTCACGTTTTCAGGTTGGACATTTGCAGCTGAATCCACCTGCGAATCGATAAAAATAAATGAATTGTATCGGTAAAACAGTTAGCAATGCAATGGACAGCCAATGGCCACTTTTGATTACATACATTTTACAAGAACCATGAGTTGGAAATATAACAGATGAACAGATATTAATCGGTGCACTTTGCATTCTACCATGATATAAAAATGAAACGTACCGCTTTGGCAATGATCTCAGTACTGTACGGGATGTCGACTGTGATCTCAAAAAGCACCCATGCCCATTTGTCACTGCTTTCATGATCTGATATGTAAGGGATACCGGTTTTCTGAAATCTAGAGGCTTCTAACCAGGTCTTGCCACCATCTATAGACACATCTACTCTCTCGATTCCTCGGCCCCCTCCAGATGCTGCATATCCACTAATTGTAATCTGCATAACATTTGATAGAATAAAATCCAATCAAGTTTGAGTAGCATTCAATTTGCAGCGGAACCATGGAGAACAATGTTCAATATAACAGGAAAGGGGTCATTGATTGAGACTAAACTTGCACATGAGGATCTAGTTTTACATCCCTGCCAATTGGCCCAAATTTACAACAACGGAAAACTTTTTCTCAGCAGATATATTCGGAACGAAGTAGTCAGTCTTTCACAAACTGAGAATACGTATGATTACTCTATATACCATCGTGGAGCTTTTTAACTCCATAGGCAGGTTCATACTCCAACCTTTTAAATCCACTTGTGGGGTTCAAAGACTCTCGTGCTGGCGTATTGGACAATTATCTCAAGTATAAACACGAAATACCATTTATAAAGCTAGGAATAATTCTAAAATCATGCCAGCCAAATGAAATATGAATGAATAAAGGCAAGTAAATCTCATAACGTCAGGAATATAATCATGTTTGCATACACTCATGCCTATACAAACCGATAATTGCAAAGAGAACTAACCTTCCCGGGTTTAATTGACTGCACATCTTCCAAAGAACAAATAACAGACTGCCAACCAGCAAAGGAACTAATATTAGTCAGGACATTCAAGCGGATCAAGTTTGTAAAACAATTTTCTGCCTACAATATTTAAAAAAGCCCCTAAACTATACTGCTTTATTATATAACGCCAATACATTTTTTACACCTAGATAGGCCCTTCTCCTTTTAAATAACGTTTCTTCAAGCTATTAACATTCAATTTACATATAAGACTAGGCTAATTCAATCAAAATCTAGTAACACCTGAACCGGGAAATCCATTTGAGGCCGCCTGGTAGACCAATTGATATTATCCCAGTCGACAGATGGTGGAAACATCTTGTAATCCTTTTGCATGAAGAAGCCCTACGAGGTAGTAAATGGAACTCAATCAAATAACAACCTGGAAAATGTTAAATCAATCTAACATAAAGATAAAACCTTTCTTCAACCTGGCATTCTTCTGCTATTATGTTGATAGAATCGAGCCACTTGACAGAACGTGCACCTATAACGCCAGGCACAATTACTCTCAACGGATAACCATGATCCCTATTGAGAGGCTTTAGTATGAAAATGAAAAAGCCTTCATGTCAGCGAAACCCATTGGGACATTATGAGAGAAATAATGTTCAATTTAACCATATGAGTATCGATGCATAAACTCAAGGCATCGAAATGTAGATGATCACGAAGTCCAAGCAAAATTATATTGTAGAAAATAATATTATATGATGAGAACAAGTTCCCCTTACCTCTCCATTCATCTCATAAGCAAGTAAAACATCTGCTTCAGGGTTAGTGGCTTGACTAAGTGGAATCGATGCCTTGTACGGGCCGCCATTCTCCTCCTACATTTATTTAAAACACGAAAGGCAAAATATTAAGTAATCTTAGAGAAGAAAAGTTGACAATGAAGTTCAATGGGCCAACTTACTACCTTACACTTATCAATGCTCACAAATTCCACGTGTTTTCCACCAGACTGGGTGCTACTTGTCAACTTTGGTATCCCGACGAGCGCAAGTACATCAGCCAATTTGGCACCTCGCCAGACAGCTGAAAGGTCGAAAATACTATATAAAGTCAAAGATAACAGCACATCTATAATGAAAATTAGAGATGTGGTTATGCATACTAGATTTACAGAACTACACAGACTCGACTTCATCCATAATCTTGTACACCAATGTGAAGAATGCACATGCTTATATGCATGTCTCGAACTAAGCACACGTGTGATATATAAGTTCAAAAAACTAATTGAAAGTTGGAGATAAAAAAAAAACCATTCCCTATAGCAGAAACATCCCAGCCAACTCCTCTCACTTTCCGGGTTTTGCTCATGGCAGTCCTCCTATTACCTGCACACTGAATAAAACATCATAGCCAGATCATTGAACAAATGCAATGATTGCAGTGCCGCATAAATCAATTCCAAATATATTGAACAGAGCTTACCTGTAAAATGGCTGTCACGTTGTATTTTGGTAGCATCCTGTTACTCATTAAAAATAATTCTCAATAAATTGTTCGATACACAGTAAGTTGAAGAATAAAATCAGGGAAGAAACTAGTGAATAAACTTGATTCATGAAAGATTAATTATCAGAAATTTCCAAAACGTATAGTTTGTTTCTTGGATTGTAATTGGGAATGCTATCACTCACCTAACATCTCTCATACACAGCTTCTTCGGAGTTTGAATTAAACCAGTTATATCAACACAGTATCTGTGTTTCCGAAATATGTAAGAAAGTAAGGATCCCCATCAAGTTAAATAACATTAAAATGTTCTGATATAAGTTATCATGGAATAAGAGGACAGAATCTGCAACCTCTCTATGTCATCAACTACTGGGATTGGTCCATGATTTCTCTTGTAGAACAAATCCACTGGAGTCACATAAGAGGAACCTAAAGCTGAACGAGGCGGCTCGGCATTGAAAGGCTCCTGGAACAATGATGCCAATACCAAGATGCACATAGAACTTTTATCAATCAATACACATTCCACAACTAATGTTTTTGCAAATGGAAACTTAAAAAGGAAAATAATTTTGGGTTAAAGCAGGCACATATGGACCATGCCCAATTCAATTCAATATGCAAAGAAACATCTTATTAGCAATTCAGATACCCTTTTTTCAATTAATTAAATAAAAGCTGGAAATTTATATACAACGAATCAGCTTTCTTTCGCACAGGTGAATATAAATACATATCAAATCTCCTTTCTCTAAATAAAATCGGCATAAAAACAAATGAAATTCAATAATCAGATGCAAAGCGAGTAGTTTAACAGCAAAAGAAGTTGCCTTGGAGTTGATTTGAAGACAAGGATGGCGTGGCGGTTCTTGTGAATAATCAGAAGGTCCCTTTATTCCTGGCATGTTTTCAGTCTTCTGCAATTCTCTCAATAACACAAATCTGAAGCTATCAAGTTGAGCCGGCTATATGGAGAAACACTGTGTGCTGCCTTTTAGTTTACTTTCCAAAAAGAAAATGCTTCGGTGATGAAGAGGCTACCATTACAAAGGAAAGAGGCCAATCATCCACCGTCGATATGCAAGTTGGAGAGGACCCAAATCAACAATGAAGATAATCTTTGTTTCGATTAATAAACACGCCACATACGGAGACAAATAGCATTTTATGGGCTCTTTTTTCCTGTGGTGTTTAATTTGTGAGTCTTCTTCATAGAGTCCACTTAGCCTGTTCTCCATGAGACCCAAGTTTGCCAAGCCTGTCAAATGGAGTTGACAATTGCCACATAGTTATGACAATACTATTAAATAGATATTTATATTTTATATTCGATAATTAAATAATTATAATAATAATTTTAAATATGATATCTAATAATTATGTTGATGTTATATATTGAACTTATCAAACGATTTGAGTGGTAAAAATAAATATTATTATCTTTTGTAATCACTTTAATTTATTTTAAAAAAATAAAAATAACGTGATACATTAAAGTGATTATTTCTCCTAAAATCATAAATTTCTTAGATTATTTGACAATTTTAGATCTCCTTTCATCTACGTTCTCATTGTCTATTTTTTTTAATTATCGTCCTCATTAAACACAATAACCACTATACTCAAAAGTTTCATCAATCATCATCTTCCCGTCGTTGTCTTTGCCGTGCATCATCTCTGCTATTGTTTTTCTTCATCCACGAGTGTCATTGATTTAAAATTGTTGCTTGTATTTGTTCAAAGATGTTTATGTCATAAGATGTGCAAATATAATTTGGGAAGTGAAAATAAATGGATTGTATTTAGTTGCTTAGGCCTTATCTGCGGCCACTCAGAGTTGTACTTGAAGCTTCCATTCTAAATAAAATTCCCTCACAGTTGAGCTCTAATTTCACTTTCGGGTCTTATTTTGTGGTTGACGGTGGCGTAAGAGTTGCTTATCATTCTATTAGCATAAATATAAGATAATATTTGTATAACAAATTTTAATCATTTAATAATAAATGCTCGTATTTTTATATGCATGGAGCTTGAACGTAGGACCTTCAAAAATAACAATAAATTCTACTTCTCAAATAGAAAAAATAACATAATAACCGAATTATATTACCTTTAAAGGGTTTGAATTAAATTTTAAATTACTCAAATTAATTCCATTAAATATATAATTATAAAGATTTATTTAAATGAAAATGAACTAATACCATAATAATTATAATCGTAAATTTGAATTTGATTCGATTAGCAATATAATATTATAAAAGAGTCGTTTAAAAAATATAAACACATATATTTGAGTTATTTTAAATAAAAAAAATTATAGACTAATATTTGAATCATCTAACTCGACTTTTTTGTTAACATGAATCGAATACTCACCCTTTATCTCCAAGCAGGGGTGTTCAATCGGTGAGTTCTATTAATAGAATTAAATGAAATCTTTTGTAATTTTTTTAATTAGATTAATTTGAATTTATTAGATGTATTTTTTTTTCATTTAGGTTAAAATTTGATTATTGAAAGTTCAATGCGTATAGAGTGATTAAAATATAGTAAAATCTTAAATTTTAAAGGGTTTGATATATATATATATATATATATATATATGTAATATCTATAAATTATTAAATATTTAATAATTTCAGTTAATTAAATTATTTAATCAGTTTCAAATTGAATAATCGATAATCGAAATTTGAAAAATTTCTTATATGTTAACCAAATTAATATCAAGTAACCAAAATAAATTTTGATTCCGTCGATTAATTCGGTTAAAACCTAACAATGAACACCCCTGTCTAGGGGTGAGCAAAACTCGACTTGAAAAATCAATTTTTTCGACTCAAATTGACTTCGAGTGTAATTTCATAAACTCGACTCTAAAAAATTTCAAGTTCAAGTCGAGTTGTAAAATGCAACTTGAATAAATCGAATAGTAACTCGAATAACTTGAAGTTTTTAGTAATTAGATGATTGATTTTCTAGTTTGAGTCGAGTCCCTTGATTCTATATAATATATGTATATCACATATGAAAAAAATGAAAAAATATACATATGTTGTATATGGTTATAATTTTTTTTAAATTATAATAAAATAATATAATAATATTATAAATATTTATAATTAAATTTAAACATAAATTCAAAAATTTGACTTGACTCGACTCAAATTTTATAAACTCGATCGAATAAAAAGAATTCAATTCAACTTCAAATTATAAAATAATACTTATCTTCTCGAATAACTTAAATTTTTTTACTCGAGTGGATCCAACCCTCACCCTCACCCCTACCCTATCTCCAAGTGCAACTTAATTTAAGAGGGTAATAATGTAATTGCTCAGCAATGAGAAAAGGACATGGGTGATTCTCCTTGCTCTTTTCTTTTAGAAGGCTTTAATATTATTTTCTAAATTTGATATTTCATAATCTAGAGTTTTGTTGATCAATGGCGGATACCCAATTGCAGAAATCCGGGACATTATCAAGGGAACAGTTGTTGTATCTATTCGATCGATTCTCTCTTCTCATTCCCAACCTGGTATTTTCCATTTTTTCATTTCATTCCATCTGCCTTTGTTTTCCTCTTAAGTATACTGGTATTTCCCTTGTCTTGCCAGATTTTAAGGAGAGGATTGTTGAAGCTGTGAATGACAAGCAGGTTACTTTCTTTTTAGCCTTGTGTTTTTAGGGCTTCATAACTTTAGCTTTTGAGTACTCTGCTTCCTTTATCATTTTCAATTTGCCTTTGTTTTTCAAGTTTTGTTAACCCCCATTTGAAAATTTATTATTTTTTCTGCAGGAACCGGTTGCTGTCACCACAGCAGTTCAGGAAGAGATATTCTTGGAGATGGGTGTTGGTAAGTTTGTCTTTCTATGTCATGAAGCTTGATTGGAATTGTGTTTAATCTTATATCATCCTACAAATGTTAAACGTAATCCATCTTCTTATTTACCTTTGTGTTATGTCCATTGGTTTATTGATTTAAAAGCACAATCGAACTTCATGTAACTATTGGTCATCACATCATCTTCGAGACTTCGACCATGTTTTGTGATCCTATCCCAACGATTGATTTACTTTTAAGACTCTCATCAAGGCCTTTCTTTTGCTTGGGTGGGAGTAAAAATGGAAGGATATGAGCAGAGAATGTAAAAATGGAAAGAAAATAAACGTCGAGTTTGCTTGGTTAGAAATAAAAGTGAGGGGAAATAAAATGAGAAGGATGACCATTTTCTATTCTCGTATGTAAAATTAAATCATTCCAATTTAGAAGGAAAAGAGGAGAGAAAATATGGAAGATATGTGAGTTAGTTCAAAATATGTATTTATCAAAACTTTAAGCACACCAATGGAAATAATTTTTTGTTTCAATTTTTTTTTCACGTTTCTACCCATTTAATTTTGTATCCTTCCAATTTTCTTACAGTCTACCAAGCAAAGGTAGAAATCTCCTTTGTAACAGAAACTGGGTTTGGGGGTATGTAAAGTGATATACCTTGTGTTTGTTAATATTTCAAAGGAATAACTCGCTATGTTGATTTGAGAATCTAATGTGATTTTGTTGCAAATCCAGGAATTAGCAAAATGATTGATCTATTCTTATTGGAGCTTCTGACAGTGTTTTACTTGATTCCTTTTCTCTGATACAGATCCAAGTTTTGGTCTTGCATGCCTGGGGAAAGTGAATATAACTTACGAGAACGATCAAGATTTGATGATTCGCCATTATAGATTTGTTGCCGAGTAATCTCCCTCCTTCCCTCTCTCTCTCTCTCTCTCTCTCTGTGCGTTTGTGTCTGTGAGTGCACATGTGCAACTGTTGGCTCAAATTGCTCCTAATGAAAACATTGCATGAATTACTGTAAATGTTTGAAGCATCCAAAATCATTCTTCTTGGATCTGCAAGGGAGACAAAAACTCAGATGTTTGTTCATTACTTCAGATGCTCAAAGAACTCTGTTGATTCTTTCAGCCATTGCTCACTCATAATCACGCCTTTCTATCAGGGATATCCATGAGACCTGTAGTCATTGCAATGTATAAGAAATTTCAGACACGGTTGATTCATACATGTTTTAATATAGCTTGGTGTGGTATTACTGTGGTTTAGGTTAAGCAAGGTAAAAAAATGATTTGTTCTATAATATTTATACAGCTGGCAATTTTTGTTTTGTCACAAAATTATGTGCTGCGGGTGTGTAGGATTTGATATCTGGGCTCGCTAACGTTTATTCTGTGAAACAACAGTGAGGAGTTGGCCTGTGATGAAGCTGAGCTTGGACCAGATGAATTTGCTGAAAAGCTTCACAGTCAACAAAAACTGCATGAACAGGTAGCAACTAATCGAAATTTTGTTAAAGTTTGAGAATATGTATTGTTCAAGTCTTCGAGGTGAACAATTTTGCAGCAACTACAGATGCTAAAGTATATGCGCAAATTTCACCTGGATGATCAATCTGCAATCCTTGAGAAGGTAGGTGCATGTGTTCTTTTTCCTTGGCATATAATCCGTGAGACTTGGACTGTCAGGCACATGGATGGCTTGTGAAATTAACTGAATTCGGGAAAGCAGTTTTTTGACTTTGACATCCGGAATATTAAGAGTATGCATTTACTGATAATAAAAATGGGTGATCATTTGTGGCTTGTTTCCATTCAGTTACACCATCAGATGGAAGATGCTAATTTTGATGTCGAGGCATCTATTTTGTCATCGGAGCAGATTCAAGAGATTGTTCAAAGGAGGGTGTCTCCCTTATTTAGGCCAAGGTAAGCTTACACTGGATTTACTGTTGTACATCGTTCAGTCTCGTGTGTGTGTGTGTGTTATTTGTCCACACTGTCATCTTCTTGAATCAGATTATGGCTAACCAAGTCTTAGTTCCACTTTTCTCAATTGATGTATTAGTCAGTTGAGTTGACAGAATGATGAACCCGGAACTAAATGGTTTAAGGCTTCCTGCTACCGATGATATATGAATCCTCAACCTCTCAGTGCATTTCCATCGCCGGAAAGTTATCTTTAACATAATCAACACGAATCCAGCGGTTGTTATTCCAAGAAAACTGGGCCAAATTTCGTTGCGAAGATGTTTTTACGGTGTTGTTCAGAGTTCCGAGTTTTTTTTGTATTTGTTAAACCTCTTCTTTCCATTTGTTGACCTACTCTTCGCGTATTTTTCGTCTACTGAAGGTTAAATTATTGCTTTGGTTCTTATATTATGTTAAAATTTCATATTTAGTCCATGTACTTTTATAATGCTGAATAGATTAATTTGTTTGATGGAAATTTTCAAAGTCATTTTTGAGCGTTTGACAGACACGTAGATTGTTTTAAAATGAATTGGCTTAATCTAAAAATAAGTGTTGAAGTTGTATTGATTTTTTCAAAGAGGTGTATAAACTTTTTTCAGTCAATTTAGGTGTCTAATTAACGTTTGTCACTTTAGGTGCATTGACTGTAGAGGCAGTCAAAAAGTTTCGTTAAGTAACATGTGTTACATTATAATAATTTTGAAAATTTTATATTTAAAAATTTTAAAAACATCATTATATTTTAAAAAACTCTAATTTCTCAAAAATTACAAAAAGATCTTAAATCCTTCAAAATTTTAAACCCCTAACCTTACCTCCTTTCCTTCACGATCACGATCACGATCGTTGGTGCCGCCTTTGTCATCGCCTTTGTCATCTTCGTAGTCTAATAGCATCATCCTTACTGTGGAGTAGTGATGGTCGTTGTAGAGTCATGATTTAGGTTTGTTGTGATTTAGGGTTTGTCGACTGTTGTTATGGTGACTGATTGTTGGTGGAGGCATCATAGTTGATTGAAGTATCGACCAACGACAAAGGTGACAGCGAGCGTGAGTATATGGATTAGATTTAGAGTTTTCAATATTTGGGAGAGGTTTTTAAGATTTTCGAAATTTTTTTATTTTTTAAAAAATATATAATTTTAAGTTTTTCTCTAGTAGCAGCCGGCCGAAGAATCATGGTTTTTAGAACCTGATCAGTTAGCGAACCGGTCATGCTACCGGTTCACTGGTTCAACCGGTCGAACCAGTCCGACCGGTCGAAAGAACCGGACGACGTCATAATTATTTAAAAAATTAATAAAAATACTAAAAAATATTTAATAAAAAATAATTTTTTTATATCACAAATCATATTCAAAGCAAGTCATAACATATATAAGTTAAAAACCATAAAATCAAGTGAAACAAAATGATTCAAATTAACTACAACATAATATTTAAAGTAAAACATATTAAATAATAAATATAATTATATAACTATAATTAAAAAATAAATTTGGGGTTAAAAAAATCATAACAAAATGATATTGTTTGGTTTAATTTTTTTTAACAATCTCATATGGCTAAGAAACATAGAAGAGCATCCCAAAAGTCTAAAGAATAAAAATATGAGAACAAAACAATCTCACATTGCTAAGAAACATAGAAGCACATCACAACTAACTTCTATAAATAATAGAGGTAATTTGACATTCAAAATCATAGAGCCTTTTGGTGAGCATTGAGTGAACTATTCTTTCACTTTAATCAAGCTCGAATTTTAGGCTTCAATCGAGCTTCTAATTTTTTTTTGAGTTCAAGTCTTTTGAGTTCAAGTTTCAATATTATATTTCGAGTTTGGGTTGAACTTGATAATTTTTAACTTGTGAATTTGAGTTGAGTTGAACTTACTTTTAAAGTTTTCAAGTTCAAGTCGAGCTCAACAATACTCAAGTTCGACTTGGCTCGTTTAACAAACGACGTTGTTTGGTTTAATTTTTTTTAAAAAAGAACAAAAATCCCGGGTTTTCTCGATTTTTTCCGATTTTTTTTTAATTTTTAGTCGGTCCGGTTCAAACGGTTCAACGGTTCTGACCGGTTTACTAATATCGATTCAACCGATTTAGATTGAACCGAATTAAACAACGATTCCAGGTTAAACCGATTGGTCCGATCCGATTTTCAAAACAGAGCGAAGAATGATATGATGCCAAATTAGGTAGTCAAATCAAAACGGCGTGGAACCCAAGGTCCCTATTCCGGTTATGAACCTTCTGTTGGTCTTCTGCTTCTCTGTCTCACTCCACCTGTCTGTTGTGCAAAAATTTGGATATAAAACGTTGGTGCATATCTCAACCCATCCCCAAAAGAAAAGGAAAGAGAGGAAATGTCCGGTGATTGGGGGCCAGTTGTGGTGGCGGTTGTGCTGTTCTTGCTGTGTACGCCAGGCTTGCTGTGTCAGCTTCCCGGAAACAAAAGAGCAGTGGGATTTGCCAACTTTGAGACTAGCCCCATCTCCATTTTCGTTCACACCATAATATTCTTTGGCTTAGTCACCATCTTTGTCATAGCTATTGACATTCACGTCTCTTCAGGGTAGGTTTCCAGATAAAATATCAAAGATGTATGCTGATTTACTCTTTTGATCATACATATTTTACATAGTTTCTTCTTCCTTTGATCATTTAAAATTATGCTCACTGATCAAGTAGTAAAAGGGACCAACTTTGACCAATTAAATGACAACACTATGGATCCTCTAAAAAAATGACAACACTTTGGGTTCAAAACCCAATAGAACTGCCCTCAGAAAATGTCAGGAAAATTACAGTAAAATGTCAACACAGGCGCATAAACCAGAAAAGATTTGCAATCCAAATTTCCTGGCTTCTGATATGAAGAAACTGTGTTTTAGCTTCATGAAATCTGCAAAAACCAATTGAGGATTTCATGAAGCCAAAACCAAAGAAGGATGAACCAAACATCATTTGTGACGATCTCCAAAGCTCAGTCAAACATGCAAGTGGAACGACACCAACAAAGCGGAAAATGACGACCAAACCAAAGAACGACCAAACATCAGTAACGCCAAACAGACCCTCAAACACTAAAAAGACAACTGTCGGTAAAAGATGCTTATTTTAATAATTCCACAGCTAGAACAAATGAAGCAAGCCATTCCAGAGAGAGGCTTGAGGACTATTATAATGAGAACCCTGGTTCACTCTTTCTCCATCTTCTGCGTCCATTCTCGCTGCAATCTGGAGTTTTAACAAAAACAGCACCAACTTCATTGAAACAGTATTGTCAAAATGACAGATTGATAGAGATATTAGTCTTTGTCAAATCTCAGTACTCCCTTTGTTATTGCTTAGTTACCTTCTTTTCCATCGCATCGTTTTCTTGCCTAACTTGTTTCTCCTGTTAAAAGCACAACAGAAAACCTAGATTAAGAATCTTCACAAACTGTCCATCTTTCCCCCAAGCTATATTTAATTCCAAAATGCAGACTCCCTATTGTTGGATCATAAACTTGATCCATTATGGGAGCCTAAACCCAAACCCAAACTAAATTGATGTCATTACTTACATCATTTAATTAAAGATGTCATTGCTTACATCATTTAATTAATGATATCATTGCTTACATCAATTTAGTTAGGTGAAAGTTAGATATTTGTTGAATTTGTAATGGTTTAAATTAGTTTATTTGTGTGGTGTAGGATTATTCTTGAGTAGTATAAATACATCTTCCCATTTTAGTTTTAAGCATCAAGAAAAATTAAGAGCTTCTAAGTGAGTGAAGGAGCAAAGTCTTATAAGAGTGAGTTGTAGTTCTTGTTTTTGAGTAAGAGTACTCTTGTAATATTTGTTTGAGTTTCAATAAAAGTTGTTTGTGTGAGTGTTTTATTTCCAACAAAGTGACATCAGAGCGAGTTGGAAAGATCGAAGGTCTCGACGAGAGGAATCCGACGCCGCCAGAATTTTCTCAATCTGAGTTCTGACGCACCGCCACGCAACGCCGGAAGACTGCTGCCAGAAAATCGAGTTGACTCACCGAGTTGAGCCGAGTTAGCCGAGTTGGAGCCCTTGACCGAGTTGTCCAAGTCCCTCACAAGGTTTTTTCGGCGTTCCGGATTCATTCGTGCAATCGGATTTTACAAAATCTCATTATATTGAGAGATATGGCAAATGGTATGGCACCATTCCAAGTTCCGACACTTAACAACAACAACTACGACAATTGGAGTATCAAAATGAAGGCACTTCTTGGATCACAAGATGTGTGGGATATCATAGAGAAAGGCTATAACGAGATTTATGGATGATGATGTTTTTGTTACTCTTACACCAGATCAAAAGACAACTTTGAAGGATTCAAGAAAGAGAGACAAGAAGGCTCTCTACCTCATCTACCAAGCATTAGATGATGATGGTTTTGAAAAGATTTCAAGTGCAAGCTCTAGCAAGGAAGCATGGGAGAAGCTGCAAACCTCTTACAAAGGATCCGAGCAAGTGAAGAAGGTTCGTCTCCAAACATTAAGAGGTGAATTCGAATCCTTACACATGAAAGCATCTGAGTCTATTTCAGATTATTTCTCAAAGCTGTTTCTAATCAATTAAAAAGAAATGGTGAAAAGTTAGAAGATGTGAGGATAATATAGAAGATACTTTTGTTCGTTGGATCCCAAATTTGAACACATCGTCGTGACGATTGAAGAAACTAAAGACTTGGAAGAAATAAAGATCGAGCAGCTCCAAGGATCATTGCAAGCATACGAAGAGAAGCATAAAAAGAAGCATGAGTTTACTGAGCAACTCCTCAAGCTGCAACTCAAGGATATGCATGAGAGCCAACGCAATGATAGAAACCAACGTGGCCAAGGCAGAGGTAGAGGCCATGGACGAGGTGGAAGTCGAGGTCGTGGACGAGGCTGGAATTACAATAATAACAATTCCAACAACAACTATGAGAAAGGAGAAAGCTCAACACGAGGCCGTGGAAGAATTAATCCAAACTCAAAGTATGACAAATCTCAAATTCGATGTTATAATTGTCAAAAATTTGGGCATTATGCTTCAGAATGTAGAGCTCCCAACAACAAAATTGAGGAGAAGGCCAATTACGTGGAGGAAAAGACAGATGGCAAAGAAACTCTTCTTCTAGCACGAAAGGAAACTGATGGTGGCCAAGCAAATTCCTGGTATCTTGACAGTGGTGCAAGCAATCACATGTGTGGAAGGAAAGACATGTTTGTGGAGCTAGACGAGTCAGTAAGCGGAAATGTTTCGTTTGGAGATGATTCCACAATAGCAGTGAAAGGGAGAGGTAACATTCTTATCCGTTTGAAAGATAGGAGACATCAATTTATTTCAAATGTCTACTATGTGCCCAATATGAAAAGTAACATTTTAAGTTTAGGGCAACTGGTAGAGAAAGGTTATGATATTCATATGAATAATTATAATCTTTCTATAAAAGATGATAAGAATAACTTCATTGCTAAAGTGCCGATGTCAAAGAATAGAATGTTCTTGATCAACATACAAAATGATGTTGCAAAGTGCCTGAAAGCTTGCTACAAAGATGCATCATGGCTTTGGCATCTTCGATTTGGGCATCTCAATTTTGGAGGTCTAGAGCTATATCTAAGAAGGAGATGGTGAAAGGACTACCTCACATCAACCATCCTGACCAGCTCTGTGAAGGGTGTCTAGTCGGGAAACAATTCAGGAAAAGCTTTCCAAAGGAGTCAGAGACAAGAGCTAAGAAGCCACTTGAGCTCATCCATACCGATGTGTGTGGACGATCAAGCCAAGCTCTCTCGGTAACAATAACTATTTTCTTCTCTTCATTGATGATTTTTCAAGAAAAACCTGGGTATATTTCTTGAAACAGAAATCAGAAGTTTTTGAAGTCTTCAAGAAGTTCAAAGCAACAGTGGAGAGAGAAAGCGGTAGAAAGATCAAAGCCATGAGATCCGATCGAGGTGGAGAATTTACTTCCAGGGAGTTTCAAGAGTTCTGTGAAGCAAATGGAATTCGTCGACCAATGACAGTTCCTAGATCCCCCCAGCAAATGGTGTGGCAGAAAGAAAGAACAGAACAATCCTCGACATGGCACGAAGCATGCTCAAAAGCAAGAAACTACCCAAGGAATTTTGGGCGGAGGCAGTAGCGTGTGCAATCTACTTGACAAACCGATCTCCAACAAGAAGTGTATGGGGAAAGACACCGCAAGAAGCATGGAGTGGAAGAAAGCCTGGAATTTCTCACTTGAGAACCTTTGGAAGTATAGCCCATGTTCACGTACCAGACGAGAGAAGAACAAAGCTTGATGATAAAAGCGAGAGTTTTATCTTCATCGGCTATGATGCTAATTCGAAGGGCTACAAGTTGTACAATCCAGACAATAAGAAGTTTGTGATTAGTCGAGATGTTGTCTTCAACGAAGAAGGAGAATGAGATTTTAACTCTCATACAGATGACTTCAATTTCTTTCCTCAGTTTGAAGAAGATGAGCAGACAATGAGGGAAAACTAGATGAATCTCAACAAGAGCTTGCAACTCCACCCACTTCACCAACATCAACCACTCAAGGAGACTCATCACCTTCATCATCGTCAAGTGGGAGTCAAAGTGAAAGAGTTATGCAACGCACAAGAAGCCTTAGAGATCTCTATGAGGTAACTGAACGACAAGATAATCTTACATTATTTTGTTTGTTTACCGATTGTGAACCAGTGAGCTTTCAAGAAGCGGTACAAGAAAAGAAATGGAGATATGCGATGAACGAAGAAATCAAGGCCATCGAGAAGAATGACACATGGGAACTTACCTCACTTCCCAAGGGACATAAGGCGATAGGTGTCAAATGGGTATACAAAACAAAGCAAAACGCCAAAGGAGAGATTGAAAGGCACAAGGCGAGGCTAGTTGCTAAAGGCTATAGTCAAAAGGCTGAAATTGACTATGATGAGGTATTTTCTCCTGTTGCTCGATTGGAGACTATCAGACTAATCATTTCTTTGGCAGCTCAAAACAAGTGGAAGATACAACAGATGGATGTAAAGTCCAACTTCCTAAATGGAGTTCTTGAAGAGGAACTTTACATTCAGCAACCATCAGGCTATGAAGTCAAAGGGCATGAAGACAAGGTGTTGAAGTTGAAGAAGGCTCTTTACGGGCTAAAATAAGCACCAAGGGCATGGAATAGCCGAATCGACAAGTACTTCCAAGAGAATGGCTTCAACAAATGTCCCTACGAGCATGCTCTATATATCAAGATCAAAGATGAAGATATTTTGATCGTGTGCCTCTACGTGGACGATTTGATCTTCACTGAAAGCAACCCAAGCATGTTTAATGAATTCAAGGATGTGATGATGAAAGAATTCGAGATGACAGACATGGGGCTCATGGCGTACTACCTTGGCATTGAAGTTAAGCAACAAAATGATGGAATTTTCATTTCACAGGAAAGCTATGCAAAGGAGATACTGAAGAAGTTCAAGATGGAGAACTGTAAGCCAATAAGCACACCAGCAGAATACGGGATCAAGATGACCAAACATGAAGAAGGCGAAAGTGTAGATCCAACATTCTTCAAAAGTTTGGTAGGAAGTATACGCTATCTAACTTGCACGAGACCCGATATTCTTCACGCAGTTGGATTGGTTAGTCACTACATGGAATCCCCAACAACCACCCATTTTAAAGCCGCAAAGAGAATTCTTCGCTATCTGAAAGGTACAATTGACTTTGGATTGTTCTATTCAGTTTCTAATGATTACAAGCTTGTTGGATATAGCGACAGTGATTGGGGTGGAGACATAGATAATCGAAGGAGCACTACTGGATTCGTATTTTTCATGGGAGATATTGCATTCACATGGATGTCAAAGAAATAACCGATTGTCACATTGTCCACTTGTGAAGCGGAACATATTGCTGCTACCTCATGTGTTTGTCATGCAATTTGGCTTAGAAATCTATTTAAGGAGATTGGTTTGATACAAGAAGAGCCTACCAAGGTTTGTGTCGACAACAAGTCAGCCATTGCCTTAGCGAAGAATCCAGTATTCCATGATCGAAGCAAGCACATTGATATTCGCTACCACTATATAAGGGAGTGTGTTGCAAGAAAAGATGTGGAAGTTGAATACGTGAAGTCACAAGATCAAGTTGCTGATATTTTTACCAAGCCACTGACCAGCGAAGACTTCTTAAGATTAAGGAACCTACTAGGGGTCACGAGATCAAGTTTAAGGGAGGGTGTTGGATCATAAACTTGATCCATTATGGGAGCCTAAACCCAAACCCAAACTAAATTGATGTCATTACTTACATCATTTAATTAAAGATGTCATTGCTTACATCATTTAATTAATGATGTCATTGCTTACATCAATTTAGTTAGGTGAGAGTTAGATATTTGTTGAATTTGTAATGGTTTAAATTAGTTTATTTGTGTGGTGTAGGATTGTTCTTGAGTAGTATAAATACTTCTTCCCATTTTAGTTTTAAGCATCAAGAAAAATTAAGAGCTTCTAAGTGAGTGAAGAAGCAAAGTCTTATAAGAGTGAGTTGTAGTTCTTGTTTTTGAGTAAGAGTACTCTTGTAATATTTGTTTGAGTTTCAATAAAAGTTGTTTGTGTGAGTGTTTTATTTCCAACACCTATATGGGTTCCTATATAATAGAGGAGAAAAGGTAGCAACATGGTTTTCTAACAACCAAGAGGAAGATGCTGATATTGCAGCTGAAAACCCAGAAATACAAGGGCATCATTTCTTTGGGGAAATACTTCCATGTAAGGGACCTTATTTGCTAGTTGCTACTAACTAATGCAATCGCTCTTCACAATATGCTACTAATAATAGTGGGAATATTTGGACTGTTTCAGCATTTTGGGGGTGTTTTTGGAGCACAAAGCCACAAATACAATGTCAGGTAATCATTTTTTGGCAGTTTTTTTTTCCAGTTCGAACCTCGGTTGAGAAACCATCTTGTATTTATAGTGTTTCAACCACAATATATATTATTATCATTGTAGTTGTCTATTCCACTATAGTTAGATAACCATAGCACCTGCAAAATGGAATGAAAATTAAAGAAAAATTATACCTTCTCTTTCATTGCTGCGACATTGTCCATCACTACCCGTGTCTGCAATGCATATACCATTCTTAATCCATATCATCAAGGTGAAAGATTATCTTCAAAAAAAAATTTATACTATATATAGCCATCATTATAAAGGGAAACAAACGGGGGGAAAAGAGAAGAACTGAGAACCAATAACCTTCCGATTTCCGGTTTCTCTTAATAAGGAATACAAGTGATTCTCGAGTTGTATGAGCTGTGTTATATTTAGGAATTCAATGAATTGACCTTCTAGTTTCCTACAAAATAGGATTAAAATTCCAAACAAATGATTCATTCCCAATGTGATACACAAATGTCAAAACGAGCATAAATGTACCCAAAGTGATTTACCTTTCAACCATTTCCAGTAGGCTACCACCTTCCCGAATATCCACCAACTCATCATGAGTCTTCTGTTGATTATGCAGAAAGCCAAACAAAAGACAATACATGGAAATAGAAAGGTTAATTAATAAAGAGTTATATTAACATATGAAAGATGATAATCTTAAAGTGTTGTTAGGATACATGTTAGCAAGATCTTTTATGATATGCCACTACTTTTGGTCAAATTTCAATAATTAATTATTGTGCAACTTTGGAAAGTGCAGAAATTAAAAATCTTGACAAACCTTTGCTTCATTGGCAATGTTGCAAATAGCAGCTTCTCCCTCTACATGAAGTACATAGCGGTCGAGAATTTTCCTCAAGCTGACAGAGAAATTCAACCATCGAATAATTACATTGTGAGGAGAGTTTGTAGTTATTTAATGTGAAATGTCAACTTGTTATGAGTTCTTAGTAGAATAATTTTATATCCGATTGTAGTTTGTAGTTTCAAATTGGATGGGTTGTGAATTGTGATTCCTTCAAGTGATCGATTGGTAACGGACGATCAGACTTTTGGTGTGGGAATTCACCACAGAGAAGAATGCATTATGGAGAGTTTTTGATGCGTTGGTGATGATCCAAAGGTTCAAAAATGTTATATGGAGCACATTTTTTTTAGGCCTTTGATGGAAAGGGAAACCAGGATCTTGAAACAATTGAATTCGACTGTTGAGGAGTTTGTGCTTGTTCTGGATGTTGAGGATCGTATTTTCTGGATGTTGGAGGTTCCGAGTTAGAGCACCACGAATGCCAAGGGTTGGAGTGTTTAATATCAAATGGTTGAAAGTTATTTTTGAACATATACTACTTTATACTTATACCATATTAATATATATATATAATATATATATATATATAACTACGAGAAGATATCAAAATAAAAGAGGATATCAAAATTTTACTTGAAAAACTTTAATAGAAAAAAAATCACGAAAAGAGGAAAAAATCACTAATGTTGAAAAATAACAAGTATATAAGAAGATTATGACTATGCACAACTTTCAAGGCATAATTAACCAACATCTAACTCTAATACATAATATCTACTTATAGGAATAATTGTTTAATTATAAAAGAAACTTGTGATTCGAGAAACATATTCAAACTAAGTTTTCTACTTTTAGTTTTTGAAAAAGGGTACTTTGTATTGAGAACAATTACAAAGTAAATCACCTCGAGGACCTCATTAAAAAACCTCCCTAATCTTAAATTGAGGAAAAAGAGTATGCCTTGAGGTGGTAAGGATCAACACACACACAAAGCTGAATCATCACACAAACCATACACCCACCCTATAACAATCCCAAAACCATATCAGGAAATACAACACATCAAACACAACAATAGCCGCAACCAGATCATGAACGGAGACTAGCCCTGAGACATGGAGAACCACATTTGCTGAAACTGTTCCAATGTAGAAGAAAGGACAAGAACCGTGAAAATGCCCGACAGAATCAGGCAGAGAATCCTCCTTAACAAACAAAAGCAGTCCACCTTCTCTTTAAATCCGAATCAGATAGCGATCTTCCAGATAATTCGGAGGAATTTAGATCAGATTTCAGCACATTGAATCTCTTCAATGCTCGATCTCTTCTATATCTCTCAGCTTTCAAAAGAACGTTGTCCTAAATATCCAATAGAGAACCAAATTTCTGTTGCTTCCTTTTAATTCTATTGGACAACACATTATCCTTGGGCAGACGAAAAACAACATTTCCGTCATAACCCGAGCGCCCAATGCAATCTTCAATGTCCTTATTCGAGTGCCCATCTATAGGCACAAACGGCACAAGATTCCCCTTGCCTTCCAACACATCTCGTAAATCCACCAAGGAGCCCATATGCGTACTACTAGATTCCTCCAATGCGATAACATCACCACTTGTCTGCTGAAAAGTAACATGCGCATGAATCCCATAAAATAATGCTTGGGAAATGAGACGCCCCATGAATTCGTTAGTGCCCATGTTCAAATACCCGACAGTAGGCAGCACTTCATGCAAAATGCTTTTAAAAATAGCATAATAATCCACCTCATAGCCCACTTTCGACCTTGTAAATACGTCCAAAGCATTGGAAACGCCATTCCTCTGACCAAGAAAGGCCTGCGCATCTACCCCATTACGACTTGTCTGGGAACCATAAGTCCATAACTCTTCGTCGCGAGAACTTACACCTGCTTTCTTCGCAACTGAAATCGACGTTCCATCTCCCAGCAATCAAACCATCAAGGAGAGCACGAACCTCTACCAGCCCAACCTCCATTTCTGTGGATACTTGAGAAGTCATACCAGCACATACTTCCATCTCGGGAGTCATTATTGGCGAGACATCCATGATCTCCCCCAACGTGGAAGACGGAGAGGCACACGCCAAATTCATCACAGACGAATCTTCCCAAACCGACTCTGGATTGAAACAAGGTTCAAACTCAGAAACAAATACAGTAAAACTCCTATCCCCGACTATCAAATCGAAAGAATCTTCCACTCGATCTTGGCATTTCGTAATGATCTGAAACAAAGCCCTATCAAACGAGCCGGGATTTAAGGTCCCTTCCTCAATGGAGATAAGTTCTCCCCATCTCAATGGAGATAAGTTCTCCCCATTTACCTGCGATGTTTCTGAATGTGGAATGACTCCACACAAACGGTGGAATACCTCTGCACGATAACCATGCTCGGCGACTACTGCACTGAAAATTCTCCGACCACACTTCCACTTTGTTAAAGCAGATGTTCAACGCTCCAGACTAATTATATAGAGTATAATCCCTACTCTCTTCATCTTCAAATATAATTAAAATAGCTAATCCCACTTAACCTCATAATTTTCGAACCTAATATTCCTTCTTTGTGCATAATAGCAGCCAACTCTTTCACTTTCATAAATTTTCTACACCTACCTACCAGGCAATCTTTAAGAGTAAGTAACTTATCCTCGTCGACAACACCAACAATGGGGGCCTCAGAAGGCAAATCTTCCATCACTCTGTTCTTTTCCTCAGCTGGATTTGAACCCGATAACTTCTTTCTCCAGAAAACTTCACGAGATTGAAATCTCGCCATGAACACTCTAACTTTATTACCATGAATCCTAGATCTATCAGCGCAAATGATAGCCTTCCTCGCGTCCTCCAATCTGGTGAAGCGAACAAAGCCAAACCTACTTCCTCACAAGATTAACAATAGGCTACAACTTAAGGACATTAACTTCCACGAAAAATCCCCAAATTTTCCTCAGTTTTATTTCTTTACCAAGCAATTTGCACTGAGAACTTTTTAAGCTGGATCAAATAGAATTTAGATCAAATAATTCTAACAATCTATACTTTGACAAGAATTCTAAAAGTACAAGGAATTCAAAACAAAAAAAATCTCAAACATGACGTGAAGTACAAATTCTATCTTGACGTTATTAGTCCTTGTGACAAAATGAACTTTATTATATTTCTCAAATTTATTATGCCCATGAAATTAAACTATTTTTGTTTCTAGAACTGTTATATTCATGGTTGTTTGTTCAACATGAAATCTTCTTTTTCTTGATTTAGTCAAGACACTTTCATGAGTAACATTTTTGTTTGACACAGAGGAGAAAATGTTGATTGTATCGCCTAAAACTACTAAACCTTGTATAACATAAAATATGATAATTTTTATCTGTCTTTTCATCAAAATGAAAGAACCCTCACAAAATTTATAACTCCACCTTTACTATAGTATCTATACCTTTTGAACTCCAAAGTGCTAAGCTAAATCATATTTCTTCTCAAATCAAGAACATACCCTATATTACTAAGTCTTCAAACAACCTCATTGAACATTTTAATTTTGATTGTGTCAATACTTGTAGCCTTACCAGAGACATTATTTTCCAACAAATAACACTTGTAGACATAACTTTAAATGTTACAAACCATTTCTAATTAAGGTTCATGAAAACTACTACTAGATACAAAAATTTACTCCTTGCTTGCTATAGACCCTTCACCAAAAGCAACTAGAAGTTCATTGTCATCTTAATTTCCACCATGTCAACTTCTTGGATTTCTCTAGTTTTTTTTCATTGTTATTTGTAGCATCCCTTTGATTTATGTTCTACAGTATGTAACAGTCAACCTCAATGTGCTTTTTTCTTGTAATAATAATCGATTTTCCCCGTGTTCCTAGATTTTTACATAGTCTTGGTATCACTACCAAGTATTTTTTTAGTCCTTCCATAAATAACAAGACCTTATACCTAAGAGTCGAATCCAACACAATATGCTTCATCTTATCATACGAGTAGATAAAATCATATACCTTACCAATATTGAGAGTATTATGACTATACAAGATAATATCTCTAAAGGTAGAATAAAAAAAGAACAATGAACAAAACATAATTAATCTTAAATCCTTTTGATCATACTTAACCTTAATAGTCTCCAAATTTGAGACAATTTGTTTAAAAATAGTTAAGTGATCTTCTAAAAATTCACATTTTTCCAAATGATGATAATAAGGTTACTACTTCATATGCAACTTAGTAATTAGGGTTTTCTTCATGAATAATTTCTCTAGCTTTAATCATTACACAATATCACTCTTCTCCTTCAATACGTCCTGTAAAAATTGATCCAATATATGTATAATATGAGATATATTATTTTTATCCCTACATTGTTTCTCCTAGAGTGTCCAAGACAATAACATGTTATCACCTTAGTAGAGCATCATTCAAATTCATTTTTGTAAGAATCACTCGTGTCTTCACTACCATAATAGAAATTTTTTGTTGCGATCCAATAAAAAATTTTCATACTTCACAAATATCATTATCGTGATCAAATCAAAATCAAATACACTTTGATACTAATTTGTTACACTATATAAAGATAATGATAGTTGAAACAATCACAAAATTAGTGATGGGTTACAACCAATGACCCCTGCTTCCACCATAGATCCCCAATTTCCTCTTAATTTTGTTTATTCACCAAGCTAGTTGCACCGTAAACTTTTTAGATTTAATCAAATGAAATTTAGATCACAAAACTCTTACAGGAAAGCAATTAGTAAAGGAGTCATGATTAGTGTTTACCTCATAAAGATCGTTGATAGAGATGAGTCTTTTAATTAAATCCTCATATTTCTAATTGTATCAAATACAATATGGATAGGGCTGCGAAAATAGATGTTGTAGAATGTGTCATTCTACATACTAATTTAGGTGAGGTATAGATGTTATTTTTAATGCCAATTGTTATTACTAGGCTTCAACATACAAAACTGACGATAATCAAAATGGCTTTAGAAGACTTCATTAAATCAAGA